CGTCGTCGTCGGGTGGTCGGTCGGTCGCGCGTACGTTGTGTACGTACCGTACGTCGTAAGTAAGTAAGAACGACGTACGTACGTACGCGTCGTAGTATATATATATATATATATATATATATATATATATATCGCGCATTCGAAATGCTTTTAAAGTTATCCTCCTTGATATCCCTTCTCCCTCTCCTCCCTCTCATAAGGCTTTCATAGTCCTCATCTTCCTCGATATCCCTTCTCCCATTCATCTTCCCTGTCTCGCCCTCGCTAGGCTTTCAAAGACCTCCTCTTCTCGATATCCCACCCCCGCACCACTCATCATCCCACTCCTCTCTCTCGTCTATTATCTCTCGGTTCAATCCTACCGCAGCAGCAGCAGCAGCATCAGTAACAGCACCACCACCACAAGCAGCAGCAGCAGCAGTAACAGAAACACCACCATCAGCACCACCAGCAGCAGTGACAGCGCTAGCAGCAGCAGCAGCAGCACCACCACGACCAGCAGTAGCAGCAGCACCACCAGCAAGAGCAGCAGCAGTGACAGCAGCAGCACCACCACCACCATCACCACCAGAAGCACCACCAGCAGCAGCAGCAACACCATCAGTACCAGCATCAATATGAAGCTCTACGGATTCGTTATCGTCTGTGCTGCGCTAGTGCTGGGGACTCGAGCCATGGACCTGCGCAAGCTGGCGCGCCTGCATATGAAAGCGCCGGAGAAGAGCAACCGGGTATCGAACTTTATCAAGGAGGCGAAGGAGAAGAATGGAGGAGGAGGAAGAGGAGGAGAGCCGAGCTGTGCGCAGTTGCGGCTTCTCTGGCGGGTCATGACAGAGGAGACGGGCCGCGGCCGTAAGTTCATCCGCAACCTCGCCGTCAAACCCGGGAAGCTGCAATCGGAAGAAGAGGAAGACGGAGGGATGCGTTCCGCATCCGCGTCGCCATGGCGACGCTTCGGCGGCCGCCACTCGTTCCCGGATCGGCTGCGAGAGGAGCCGCCTCGCCATTCCGGGTTCACCGGGTTCGGACGACTCGTCCACGACGCGCCCGCCGACCGGACGTCTGGCGACGACGACGACGGCGACTTCCTGCGCGGATTCGGTCGCCTCGTCGGAAAGACCTCGACCGGAAACGGAAACGCGCTGTTCGCCGACGACGACGACGACGATGACGATAGCATCGACGCGCTGATGGGAGAAGCCGCTGGAGGAGGTTCCTTCGGCGGTTTCGCCGATGAGAGACTCTTCTCTAGCGAGTACGATCCGAATGGATTCTCTTCCCAGACGACGCTCTATGAAAGTCCGGAGGCGGCGGCGGCGGCGGCAGTCGGTACATCACAGCCGCAGCGACACCAGCAGCGACAGCAGCAGCGACAGCAGCAGCGACAGCAGCAGCGACAGCAGCAGCGACAGCAGCAGCAACAGCAGCAGCGACACAGGTTCCCGTACGGAGAATTCGCGCAGGCGGTGCCGTCCGCACCGGTACGTAGCACTAACTCATAGATTTATTGATTTATTGATCGATTGAAGGTGACCGTCGATGCATACAGTTATTGAGTTATTATAGCTACATATATATACACACGCATATATATATATATATATAATATATATATATCGAAAGCTTGTTTGCGTCTATAAATATAAATGTATATATATAAGGATATATATAAGGAGTTTAATTTTTTAAATGCAAGTTTTTAAATTACACAGAAAATATTGAAATGACAACAACTGGAGACATTATTACGCACTAACGTTTTCACTTTATTAGTTCTTCAGGTGCATATCTGCATATATCACATATGCACCTGAAAAGCGAATAAAGTGAAAACGTTAGTGCATAATTATGTCTCCAGACGTATCATTTAAATATTTTCTGTATATATATATATATATCGAAAGCTTGTTACTGTCTATAAATATATACGCGAAGGAAAAATGACTAAGCAGAGATTTTATTTGTGCTGAATGTCAGAGCAAACGTTGGGTTGCGATTGTTGAAGATGAAAAATGCGTTAACACGCAAACAAACAAACAAACAAACCAGCACATAGTATAAACAAGACAACAAACACGTAAACAACACGATAGCAAACAAGGAACAGTACAAATGTGATAACACTGATGTGATTATACACATATATTAAATAACAAATAATGTAACAACATATATATATAACAAACAATAAATATGTGTGCAATATATGTGAATCTAAGCACGTGATGCCTAAACACTTACACACCGTGACACGTACCGACACATGAGCACAAACACGAAAAAAAGATAAACACACATGCGCACAAACACGTAAACACATAAACACACATTCGCAAAAACAAACAAATAAATAGATAAACACACAAACATGCGCATGCAGACACATGAATGGATGAAACGTGAACACGTACGTCGCCGCCAGAGGCGCTAGCGTGGTGGTAGACGCACGCACTCACTCATGCACGCACGCACGCACGCACGCACGCACGCACGCACACACGCACACACGCACTCCGCACACACACACGCGCGCGCACGCACACGTGAGGCCGGCAGACTCGAGCAGGGACCTGAGAAATAGAGCGAGGAGAAGAGAGGAGAGAGAGAAAAAGTTGATGGAGAAGAGCAGGAGCGAGACGAAGCTGAGAGAGCCGGCAGCAGAGAGAAACGAGAGAGCATGAGGAGAGCACCCCGGTCCTTGACAGCGACGAGGAGGATGCGAGAGGAGCCAAAATGGCTGAGCAGCCGGCAGACCGCACGAGAGAGAGAGAGGATCGAGAAGAGAGAGATGGAGAGCGCGAGAGAGAAGAAGGAGAGAAGAGAGAGAGGAGACGAGAGAGCACGATAGAGAGAGGAGAGGAGAGAGAGAGGATATCTCATTCCGTCTCGCTCAGTTATTGCCTGTTCTTACGTCGCCAGCATTTCGCCACTCTCACGCGCGAACTGCGACACATTCTTCAAGAAAAGCTTCTCTTATATATCAATGCGCGAGACTCACTGAGCTCGAATACATGCGGCGCGTGCGTGCGTTGCAGTGCGGCTTGCTGTGATGTGTGTTTGTGCGTGTGTGGATCTTGGTGCCCGTGTGGCCCGTTGGTCCGTCCGTTCGCCTGCTGCGTTGCGTTGCGGAGTGTTTAGTCACTTTAACACCTGTGGTGTTTAAAATTCACCAACTGCTGAGAAACTTCACCGAGATCTTAGTAGCGTCTACATGGTTATTGTCCAGCCGCAGCTCAATGGTGGGTGGACGTGTGCGTGTGATGTGTGTGGTGTGTGTGTGTGTGTGCTGTATGCTGTCTGTGTGTGTGCTGTGTGTGTGTGTGCTGTGTGTGTCGGTGTGCTGTGTGTGTTTGGGCGTGTGTTGTGTGTTTTGTGTGTGTGTGTGTGTGTGTGTGTGTTTAGT